GTGTGCCTTTCCAAATCATGTCCAATCAACTGAATTTACCACAAGTGGACTCCAATTAAGCTGCAGAAACATCTCAAGGATGATCAGTGGAAACAGAATGCACCTGAGCTCAATTTTGAGCTTGATCGCAAAGGCTGTGAATACTTATGTACAAGTGATTTCTTCGTTTTTTATTTTTAATAAATTTGCAAAAATCTCAAACAAACTTTTTTTAAGTTGTCATTATGGGGTATTATGTGTAGAATTTTGAGGAAAAAAATTTATTGAATCCATTTTGGAATAAGGCTGTAACATAATGAAATGTGGAAAAAGTGAAGCGCTGTGAATACTTTCCGTATGCACTGTATGACCAAAAAAAGATGTGGACATTATGTCCATCTAGCACCCAATTAGGGCGGAAAAAGACACAATAATATTTTAAGCACCTAGGTTGTTTGCTATGAAAAATGATTGCTAGATATTTTGGACTAAAAGGCATTTCTCTCGGTTGTCTGTGTGGAAAAATATTCTGTACAGGCTCAGGGAGGCCTGAAGAGATAATGGGCTTAAGCAAATTTAAATCACATGACTAAAAGCCTGAAAACCAATATGCTAATAAAGCCAAATAAACATAGCAAGACGGTCAAACAAGTAAAACCTCACTACAAATTGTTCATGTCTTTGAACACATTTCCCCAGTGCTAAAGACTACATGTCAGCCTACGGGGTGTTCAGGGCCACAGATTGACGCCCCGCCCCTAATTTTGGCAAGGATTGGCAACACCTTCTGAAGTCAGGTGTTTTATCAGGCGTAATTAGGACCAAACCTCGCAGCCATTAAAACTGCGCAGTGGACAGTTCAGCATTAGCTCCCTGTGCAGTGCTTTTTCTTTGTTCCAATGGCGTGTAGAGAGAGCAGAGACACTAGGGTTTTATTAGTTGTTGGACTTTTTTTGTTTGCCAGTTCATTTTGCCTTTGTACAAGACTGACAAAGCTTAAAGAACTAGTTGAATTAAGAGGAAACTCGATGCTTAGCCAAGGTCATCATAAAGGGAGTGAACTGCGCCGTGGAAGACTCTTAATTGGGCAGAAGTCTCTGCAAGGTGCTAAACTCAAAGGAACCAAGACCACAAAAAACTTACTGGATGCTGACACAGATTACCAAGCAGATATGGGTATGTAAAGTTGATATTCATATTACAATCCTGCACAACCTACACTACAAAAGTTTATTAATGATGACTTTTAAAACTATTTTTGCCACAGCAAGTCATAAACATATCTTGTACACCTGTTGACCTTTAGGCTTATAAATTAATCTGTGCACCACTGTTTGAACACAAGGTTGGGGGCAGCCCAAGCCAGCTAAAGGATGGGATGATGGCTTTTCAAGGCTAAGGTCAGATGATGCGACAGTGGAGCGACTCCTTAAAATGGAACCAAAGGTTGAATGTACTGCAAACTCCATGAAGCTTCAAGTCCAAGATGCTGCTTCTACCCCTGGATCTCTGTTGTTTGTGGACAGGGGTACATTTTCAGTCTCTCATAGACCAATAATTTATAACTATCATTTACACACAATACTTTAAGTATGTGCAGAGCGGTTTAATGTAAATGTTTTTATTTCCTTTTTCCTGTTGAACTGCTCAGGAAGGCATCTGTCTCCTCTGCCTCTGTCCAAGTTGCCAACAAGCTGTGGTTACACCATCAGATTGACACAGAGAGATTTGGTCTTAGCTGCACCTTATGATGGCTGCTTTGTTGATCTTCAGGTGGGATACAGTATTGCACAATTTTAATACTTTAATACAATCTGCTTTTACACACTTGTAAAATGTTTCTTGCTGTTTTCAGGAGGACAACTACATTCTGCCATTGCGTTGGTTGGGGTTACCAGTGAAGATGTCATGCCCTGTGTTGAGGCAGTCTTCACCCAACCCTCCAATGGTCACCTGCCACGCTGAGGGCATGGTCGTGAAAGTGGAATGGACCATCTCTGTCTCTAAAATTAAAGTAAACTGTACGTTTTTGCTGCTTTTTTTTCAATATTTCATGTTTCAATTTCTGTTTAAGAAACACTGAAAAGATGCTTCACATGTCTGCTTCACTACCCTGTATATTAACTTCCAAACACACGTGCAAGAATTAAGATACAATGGCTGTGTTGATTTAGTGTCAGAGCTCTAGTATTGTCTATTTTTTGCTTACTGCATCATTTGTCACCTGTGCTTATTGGAAAACAAGTGTGCTTATTGGAAAACAAGTGTTTATACAAACCTACTATAAGGTTGCTTTATGAACTGTCAAAACTTTTTTTTTGCGCATCTTTTCTACTCAATCTTTATTAATGAAACTTTAATTCTGATGCATGTGACACTGTAAAAACACAATTTCACTATTTTCTAAACAAGTGAGTGCACTAAACTTGAATTTGGATTATTGGGAGAATTTGTGCAGTGATAAAATGGTCTGATAAGACCTGTGACTTGTATTTTTAGAAGTGTGCCTGGCAGTAATGCATTCTTCTTACAGTGAATGGTACCTGGGAGCCACTGATGAAAGCCTCACCCAGATGTGGCTTCAGTGTAGTTGTACATCCCGAAGGTGTGGTTGTTTCTGTTCGCTATACACCCTGTCTGGAGAAAAAGGTACAATACAAATTTCTTGAATTACAAAAACTTCGCTTTTAAGTATAATAATGGCGTAATTTTGTGTTCCAGGATGGGATGTACACCCTGGAGCTGGCTGGAGATGGAGAAACTAAAGTTTCCTGTCCCTTCCTGTCACCAGCTCAACCTCAACCCATAAAAAGCCCAAAAATCCCAGTTTCTGAGGACCCACTGGGACAAATATACCAGCAACCACAGCCAGAAGTCCCTCAAGGCCAAGTATATCAGCCTTTCTACCCTCAGACAGACAGTCAACCAGCAACACAGCCCACGGCTGTCCCAAAGCCCCCACAACCTGAAGCCCCCCAGGGTCAAATATATCAGCCCTTTTACCCAAACCCTTTCTACCCTCACCCTTTCTACCCTCAGCTAGTGCCTAAACCTCAACCAGCAACAAAGCCTCCACAACCACAGCAACCTGAAGCCCCTCAAGGCCAAGTATATCAGCCTTTCTACCCTCAGCCAGAAAGTCAACCAGTAACAAAGCCCACGGCTGTCCCAAAGCCCCCACAACCTGAAGCCCCCCGGGGTCAAGTATATCAGCCCTTCTACCCTCACCCTTTCTACCCTCAGCCAGTGCCTGAACCTCAACCAGCAACAAAGCCTCCACAACCACAGCAACCTGAAGCCCCTCAACGCCAAGTATATCAGTCTTTCTTCCCCAACCTCTATTACTCCCAGCCAGAGCCTGAAAAACTGCCAGCTGCGAAACTACCTGCTGTTCCAAAGCCCCCAGCCAGGGAAATGCCTATTGGACATGTACAAAAACCTTCTTACCCTAAACCATTCAAGATACCAGGTGCTGGAACAAATGGTCAGACAGCTCCCACTGAAAAGCCAGCCCAAAGTGAACAGCCTCCAGCTGTCAAACCACAAGAGGGCCAGGTGCCTTCCCCTTTTAAACCATACTACCAGCCCCAGCAGCCCCAGCAGCCCCAGCAGCCCGTCACATTGCCCCCTGCTACCTCCATGCAGCAACCACAGCAGGTTATCACTCCAGATCCTGGTCAAAACACCATGGAATCTGCCAAGCCACAACCTAGTAAAAGTGATATGGTCCCAAAAAACCCTCTGCTAGGCTCTGCACATATGCCACCTGTGTACTGCCCTCAGTCTTGTCCATCTGGATTTTCTAATTGCTGTCCACAAATTGCATTTCATCAGCATCTCCATCATATTGTTCCTGCTGGACCTGGCAGTAAAGATACCCCTCCTATCTACGCAGGACTGCCATTCCTCCCTTCAGTGGCATATTCTGGGTTTGGTAGTGGCTTTGGTTCTGCTCCCTTTCCTCAAGAGCCAACTGAAGCAGTGACTACTCAGGCACCCACAACTTCTACCTCTGCAGCTATTTTGCCTCAGTCCCTTCCATCTGGAAATGAAAAGCGGCCATATCTTCAGCCACTAGATGGCAACCCTGGTGCACTACCTAGAAGTAATCCCAGCAAGCCCACAAATCCTATACAAACAATTTACCCTTATTTTGTACCCAATTCGTTATATCCTAACTGGCCATATCAACTACAAAGTCAAGAGCTGCAAAATTTACCATACATTGCGTCCCCACCTCACTACGGTGTGCCCTCTACACCTCAGGGTCAAGGTAACAAACCAGTAAATCCAATGGTGCAATTTGAGCCGTATAACATGCAGCCCCTACAGCAGCAGAACAGCAAACCATCGGCTGAGGCCAGGTCTTTCCTCAAGCAGTTTCTACCCTTGCCCCCTTCAGAAAAGGGGCAAAATACACCTACAGCCAAGGAACTGCCTCCATCTAACCAAAAAGCCATTGACTATAAAGGGCAAACGCATCCTAAAGTCCAAAGTGATCTCGATCATCATCTGGTCCCTTACTACATGCTTCAAGATGCTGAGGCAACTACTTATAACAAGTCAACAGTCCTTAACAACTCCACACAAACACGGCCATTTGTGAGTGACTCAAAGAAATCAACCAGCCATGAACAGGGTTATGTGCTGCTACAGCATGGCCCACCAGGTAGGGAGCCCAACAGTTTCCATCAGTCTCCATTGCCTGTCAGAGACCTGGTTTATGATGCAAATTTCCTGGCACAAAGCTTTGCAAGGCATCACAGTAAACTCCCAAATCCTCAAAATTTCAGGCCCCCACAGCAAAAAACCCAACACCCCAAATGGCTTTCGAAAGGAATGGCCAATCCCATACCTGGTAATGTCAACTACATGCCGAGGCTGGGTGAGGAATCAGAAAATTTGCCAGTGCTTTTCTCTGCTTCAGATGGTTCTCATTTTGTGCCCCTGCCCCAGGACCCTACTTTCAATGGAGCACATTTAAGGCCTAAATTCTCTAATTCATTCAAAGACCTCTGGAAGCCCATGACTCCTCTAGGCTCCGGAATTCCACCTCATGTTCCTGGAAAAGCATTTCAAGGATGGCGCTCTGCAGCTGACCACGAAGGAAATGGTATGCTGTTAATATGATTTTGGGAAAAATTCTTAGCCCAGACTTTTGAACTAATACATGTATTTCTTGCAGGTCTGAACCAACCAATTCAGAAAGAAGGTGGAAATCGGAAGTGAAAATGAGTAGCCTTCAATTTGAATAAACAATTAAAACTAACTAGCTGAGCTTGTGTCTCTTTATTTTTTTGTGTGTGAGGGTTACATTTTGTAAGTGGGTTGGGGAAACAAATTTGCTAAGTGGGCTTAAGAGTAGAAACCCTTATCTATTGTGGCATGGGTGGTCAAGGACAACTCTTATTTATTTTTTTTGGAGTGGTTTCAAAATTGACAGATGGCAGGGTACTTGTTAGAATTGTATCCGGTGTTGGGGAATCAAATGGTGCATTGCCCCTGTTGAACTTATTTTGTCTTACCATGAACTGGCACTTCCTGAAAATGCACCTATTAATGTAAATACATTTACTAGAATTCACCATTCATCAACAGTGGTCTCAAAGTACAACCCTAAAATCTTTCTGCAAATCGGAAATGTTCATGTTCTACATGGCAATTCTAGTGCTAGTTTGCTTTTAATATGAATTTTACTTGGCTCACCAGACCAAATCACAAGTTTAACTCTTGGTGTCATTTTGAACTCTGATTGTAATCTTTGAAGCCCATATTAAAATGACCAAGACTGCATTCTGCATCAACCAACAAGAGCCCTCTGATGGTATTTTAACTTTTCATAAAGTAGCCCACAAAACAAGGGGAAAGTGCTCTTAGCAACTATGGTCCAAGACACTGGAACACCCTGCCCAGTTACATTAGATATGCCTGCTCTCCTGCCTTTAAAAAAAAATAAAAATAAACTGAAGACCTATATATTTTTAAAAAATCTTTACCTATTGTTGGTTCTTTTCCATATTCTTTGTATTTTTATTTTTTGCATTTTGTTTTTAGTGTCATATCTGTCTTTTTATTGGATCTTTTATTTTACTTTCATGAATTTATTCTTTATTTTTTATCTTTTTGTTTTATTTTTTAATGCCACACAGTATCTTTTATTCATGTATTGTGTTTTTAATGGCATACTGTAAAGGTGTACAGGTGTTATACAAATACAATATTTATAGAGTTTGGTAAAAAACAACAAAAAAAGCAACAACATATTGAGCATATTTAGAATTTTATAAATCTTGCATTTGCATATTAGATTAGTGACTACCTGATTATTTAAATGTACATGAAAATCCATGTAGCATAACCTGTGAACTGCCTGACCTTTGGCTATTAAAATATTTAATGTATTATCTAATTTGAGTAAAGTCATATTTGAAATGTCGAACTACCTTGAACACAGGAAAGACAAAATTTAAGGAAATGTCAACAGGTTCACAGGGATGTCATTGGCATGAGTCAACACAATCAGCAAACATCACTGTTTTGCAATCACCCTTAAAGACTTGGCATGAATGATTAAATGCATTTTGGTACCAGTGTGTTTATTCAAAGCTCTGTATAGAGAGGTTATCAGTGTGTCCTCATTAAATCTGTAAAAGGTCTTATGTAAGGTAGGTAAGGTTCACCGACTGCTGTTATGAAATATTATTCAATAAATTGTTTCAGTAAATTTTTAAAGCATGCCTTTAAAACCCAAAAAGTAAGAACAGAAAAGCTTTGACTTTGAGATTTATTCAGCAGCATCAAGTGTACATCATTATCATCCATTTTACATTTTAAACAGTTGTTTTTCAATGCATAATGCTCTTGTGTGATTTGGCAGTTTCAAATAACGGATTATTCCTTCTTTTTGGGGAAACCATTGGTGTCACATCTGCCTATCACAAGACATGTTCATTTATCTTTAATTAATCTAGTGCCAGTGTAAGTGAAGGAAGCAAGTATATAGAGTCTGTGGGACCTGAACACTTAGAAGAATCTGACCCTTCCTGGGCACACTGGCACAAGAGGAACAGGGTCTATTGCAGGGATGTTAGCCACTGCAAGGGCAGGAGCAGCAGGTACATCTCTCTTGAAAATAATATGAAAGACCTCCTTACTGGATGAAGCATCTGAGGCTGATGTACTGTCATCAGCTGGAGCAGTATCTGCAGCAGCTGGAGCAGTATCTGTAGCAGCTAGAGCAGTATCTGCAGCAGCAGGATCTGCAGCAGCTGGAGCAGTATCCGTAGCAGCTAGAGCAGTATCTGCAGCAACAGGATCTGCAGCAGCAGGATCTGCAGCAGCATCAACCACTGCAGGGGCTACAGGCACAATTTCAGCTGACTCTGCTGATTCTGCAGACAGAAGGCCGCTTAGCTCAGGGTCATGTTTAGTAGTCAGTTTGTGGTGTTTCAGACCATGCTTGGGTGACAGGCTGCCTGTATGTACATGGACCAGTGGTGGCAATGCAGGAGCTGCAGCTACAGTGCTGTTGGCATCTACAATAGGCACCTGAAAAAGCGGATGCATCAACAGAGGCTTAGGAAAAAACAGCTGTATAAATGTTGCATAATAAAGTTTGTGACTTATTTTTGGCCATCAACATTTATATGGATATGGATAAAATACACTATTTTACCAGAGTGGAAAACATCTTGCAGTCCACTGAGTGCTTAGCATTGAAACCACTGGCAGTACAAATACCACGTGCCTGGTAGAAGAAAAGAAATAGATATATTCAATTTTGTTGTTCTGTTTTTTAAGTGACCAGATTTATCATTTTCCTATCTTCTATGATTATCTCACAAGCAGGGCTAAACAAGTGTTATAATAACTTATTCCAGTCTCAAATTGAGAGAACAACTACTCTGTTTAAAAGAAATGGAAAGTTACATTGCTTCATGTACTTACAGCCATGGCATCATTCAGGGGCACACAGGCATCATCAGTGCAATTAGCCTCAACTACAACATATTCTGCAAGATAGGTTCGTCCACCAGCCTCAAACTGAAACAAAGTATTGAGATGTACTGATGTAATGACAGAGACAAATTTAAACATGCAGGTGCATTGAACTGGGTGGACTATTCTTGGGCCCACCTGTGTTAGCATTCTTCCAACCTCCAGAAGAGTGTAGGTTACGTTCACAGTCATGTTGTTGAAGGTTGCCAGAGAGGCCTGGACAAAGTCCAGTGCTGAGGTGTCATTTAGGGGAAGAAGGATTGGACAGCCGATGCACAGGTCCTCCGATGATTCTATATGTCATCAAAAAAAGACACATGCATGGTTTTTGTGTGTAGCGTGACACTTGTGTGGCATGTTCTGAATGTATGTGGGTGTCTGTGTTTATATTGCTAAGCGTATGATCTGAAGGTTTTACCCTCGGTTTTACACTTGAATGCTGTGACAGTCAGAGCTCCGCCAACCTTTTTCAGCACCACGTCACAGTCCCCTTCTACTGCCTAATTGGGGACAGAGAATTGGTCCAAATACTAAATCAGTCACTCTGAACAGTTTCCATTCTAATTGTTTATAGCCTAAAATGATCATCTTTACATTTTGTTGAATTCCTGTAGCTCAAGTATAAGAGCTTCTGTGTGCTAATGGTATACAGTCTCACCGTCAGTACTTTGGGTCGGACTTTGCAGTTGGCAACCGGTGTGGGGTCCAACACATGACAGTCTGTCTCCAGCAGGTCAACTTCCAGGACATATATGTTGTCTCCATCAGGCTAAGGAGAGGTAAAATGAAACATTATCTAGTAGTTTTTTTCCTACAGCATCAGACAATTATTTGACAGGATTCTGCAATGTGAGGATTGATCACTACATTCAAAGAAGCCCCTAGAGGGATTTATTCATATTTGCCTGGATGAACATGCATATGTAGTTTCGAATGACACAGAAAAATAGAGCATGTTGATTTTCAATCTTTTCTGACATATGTATGTGCAATTGCTTTCTTGCAGAGGCAAGTGCATTATATCTTAATTAGGGTGCTGAGATAAAATAAAACAATGGAAAGAAAGAAAGAAAGAAAAAAGAAAAAAAGAAAGCTGAAAATCAGGGGTAACTATATGTATAAATGTCTGTTCTTGTAACTACACCTGCTGACCTACAGTACCTTAGTAATGATCTTGATGTCGTCGATCCTGTTTAGTGCATACTTGTAGCCATGGACGTGCTGGCCATTGAGGTAATCCTGAGCCACCAGAGCAGCCTCCTCTGCCTCAGGGGAGTCGCACTGAGGCCGCAGCACACTGATCTGAGCCCATACACCCGCCAGTAGTACAAGAACCACAGTGATACCCAGGAGATTCATTTTTGTTAGAGATGCACACAAAGGTTTCAGAGCAGTTGAGTGGATACGGATAAGTTGGAGAGGCAGAGCTCATGCAGCCTGGGGTGTATATATCTTGTACTTCAAACAGGAAAACAGAGCCAAGTTAAATACCATGATTATCCTGCCTGACTCCTGCGTCACATGTGGGTTGTACTCTGTTTTAGGATCGGTGCCAAAACAAATTTGAGATGACAAAGTCTGGTTTAGGATGAGCAGTCTCTAGTTTAAATCAGTGAGGGTTCACTGTGTTTTATGGTGAGCCATCTAAAAACATCTCCACTGTCTGGGATTTTCATATATCTGTGCCCTGATCTGTCTTGAATTAGATATTATACAAAGAGCTTAATGTTCAAACATCCATATTGTGTAAGCAGCTGTTTCTCTCCGCAGAGGTCAGCTACAGCTGCAGGGCCCCACTGCCAGCAGGGATTCAGTGACTTACTCAATGACACTTCAGCAAGGAGGACATTTGTCAACAGGGGGGACATAGTTGAGGGACAGGGACACTCGCTGCTACCGCCCACATATTTGCTCTGTTTATTGAACCATCTGCACAATAGACCACTCCAGGTCAGGACTAGACTAAAAACAGAGACACTGATGAGATGATTACTAGTACAAAAACAGATGTCAGCAATAAAAAGCACTGACAAACTTAATCTACGTTATTCCCACTTTTATTGTTTTTGTCTTCATCTTTCGGTTTACACACACTTTGAGATGACAATGTTTTCAGTCTGTCTAGTATTCATTTATATACGAAGTTTCACCCCACTACAGAAGGGTGAAGTATCAAGACACCTGAAGTGGACGTTTAACACTGATTTCATTGACGGCATCCCCACACATTCTGGTTCTATTCTATAGTACTGTATTTCAAAATGTTAATAATAAGAAAA